CTTGGTATCGTGGTGGCAGAGGAACATAAGTTTGTAAAACTTATGTGACGATACAATCTTTCCTTCGGTTGTTGAGGGAGGTTGGAGAGACAGCTTTTTGAAATGGGAAATGGGATCTCTCTTTAGAGAGGTGGTTGAGACAGAGGAATGAGGTTCAATAGAACCGATATGACGATAACCTTGAGCTGCTACGGTATATGGAGGGTACGTAGGAATACAGTTTTGTTAAAAACAGTATGAAGATCCCTGCTTCTGGTTAATACTGGAGGCGAAGGAAACATATTCCTCTTTAGATGAAAAGGTTGACGACATCTTTATTCTCTCTTCGGTATGTGGAATCGGTGGGTAGAGAGGTTGCTTCCTACGCATAGGGTGGCAGAGGAAACCCGAATCTCTTTAGGGTTGACGATATGGTGAGCCTCTTTGTATTCAGTGGCGGAGAGAAATGTGTTCCATGGGAACGATATGATCGACAGGTGGTTAAAGACCTCGCGTTGTGGAATAGGGCGGGTACGACATCTGCTTAAAATGGGAGGTAGGGTTGGATAGAATAGGCTTCTGGTTATGATAGGGCGGAGGATTTCTCTTTAGAGGACAACGACATTATCTTCACCTTTGTATCCTGGTTGCGGAGGAATACAGTTTCTAGGAAACGTTACGACGATACCGTCCTGCCGCTAGTAGTTGTGGGGCAGAAGAACTCTAGTTACTCTAGAGTGACGATACAAACTTCCCCTGCACAGTGTGGGTTAGGGGGGAACGACCTCCGCCTCTTACGCACGGTGGTTATGATGGGTAGAAGATATAGCCGCTACGTTGTAGGGATGGTTCTTCTCCAAGAAGAGTTGGTGGCCAGAATATCCTCACCTCGGTATCCTGGTGGCAGAGGAACGATATTTTTCCTCTCTTGGTCCCTTGTGACAGAGGAAGCAACATCCTCTAGAGGAAGGTGCTGACGATACAACAACCCCTTCCCTCTTGGTGGCAGAGGAGGGAGGATCCCTCCGATACAAAGCTTCTTACGCCCCTTGCACATGAAAAGACAGAACAATTCATGTTCGCCTCTCTTCTCCTCTCAGCTGAAGGTGTCGATAGTGCACGCACTGAAGACCCGCATAGAGAGAATTGTGACCACAATCACGATTCTATATTATATATATTTTAAGACCCCCTCTTGGTCTCGATGGTTGCCACTGACGCATTGTGGACACGGTTTCTTCCTACAGAGGCAGTTGTAGAAATTGGTGGGCAAAAATGAGTTTGATATGGGTAGAGGATGGAAATGGTGGATAGAAGTTGCAGCTAACGGCTATATGGGGCAGAGGAGCAGGGAATCTCTACGACGAGATCAACATCTCCCTTTCAGTTTGTGGTTTAGGTGGGTACGATTCCTGCCTCTTTGTATCTTGGTGGCAAAGGAGAAATCTCTCCTCTCTAGAGAGAGGAAGATATCGACGACATCAACATCCTCGTTTTCTTTTGGTGGCAGAGGACAACTAGTTTGTAAAACTAGCAGGACGACATAATCGCCTCTTGTTAATAGGTGGCAGAGGAAGAATTATATTCTGACGTCTATATCAAGCTTCTGCTATGATATGAGCCTGCTATGCTGTTTGGAATAAAGAGTGTTAATGCTTCAAGCATGCGAGGCAAATTGGGCGGCCACTGAAGGAAACGACGGTGATTAAATTATAGTTTCCTTGCCAGTGCGAAATAAGCTGGGTGGGTCCTTAGTAGTTCCCTTACGTTGTCACCCAATGCCATCTGCGTGGGTGACCTTCCGGTCAAAGGCCAGTTTTGTAAAATGCTGCGAAACACCACCTGTGTTGCAGGCTTTGTCATAAATTTCAGCTGTTCGCAATCTCTTGGCATCTTTAAGTAACGTTAAACATAGAGCGGGTGAATGCAAGATAATGATGTTTGAACCAGTTCGTCATTATCAGCTTTTTTCGACCCACTGCGGAATGAAAGTCTCTCAAGACTGTTCCATAAACCTTTGTTTTCTGTCATTTCTGTCAATCGTGGCCCAGCAAACTTCTTCAGCTCGTCCTGCTCTCGATCCGCAGGTCTTCTTACGGTTTGTTTGCTCTCTGTTGGAACCCCGTCAATGTCTCTGGTCCTTCGTGATGGTCTGTTCTTCTTGCATCATGTCCTCTCCATTGCCGTTGCAGCTTCTTCACTCAGGCTGTGACCTGGCAGGCTTTTGTTTGGACTGCTATGCACTTACTCCCCTTCTTGTCCTTTCTGGTTATTCTCAACATACACCATGCTGAATTGCGTAGTATGCAGTTTATATATAGCGTTCACTTTGAAGGTCCACGTTTTGCTCCCATAGATTAGCACTGGAAGCACACACTTATTGACAGCGTTCCGTTTCAAGCACAAGGACAGTTTCGGTTAGCAACGTTTTTACTCTTCCAAAATGTTTTCCATGTCATGTTTATTCATCGGGTGATTTATCAGAGCCGGTTTCCCATTGCTGAGACGAACTGCCCTATATTGATATAACGGTAGTATTGCACCTCCTCGAGCCTAAATCCGTTGACTTAAACAGATCACGTCACTTTTTGTTAAGTATTCCTGAGTCTTCTTCATTTTCATTTTCGGTCCTACTTTGATGCTGGTGTCGTTCAGCTCGTCGGACCAGTTGTGATCTCATAACTCTGGCGCTGTGCAGTGATGATCATAACGTGCAAACGACGCTTTTGAATAGTCGACATTGTCGATGCTTAATTTGGTTATTGATTCGGTTAACGAAACTTGATTGACTAGGGCATAGTCACGGGTGTCCTGGATCTACACTACATTGTGGAGATGAATTTACAGTGATGCCAAACAAACCACAGCAAGGCACAATGTTTGGATTATGGAACATCGTTATCTCGATTATGGAACAGCCCAAAATCGTCATTCTTTAAAGTTCATTGACCCTGTGGTGTTTTTCTTCAGTACTGAAGCAGCTTGATAATATGCCGTGCAGCAAGTATGACGGGCAGAATAAATATCTACCTGAAAAATCAGCTCACTGTTTGTACTTCAAATAGGTCGCGTATGATTTCAGATCGATCTGAAGATTGAATGCTTTGTAGCAAAATACAGTCGAACATGGTTTATGGGTATAACGCAAAATATTAGCTTGTCCGTTGTGAACTGCAATATAGGTATCGTTCTGAATCGGACGCCTGCTTCGGACTGTGCTTTTCAACCTCTTTGATGGACCACAGCTGATTTACATATTCGAGTTAGGCTCTTCCAGATCAGTTGTCGTAATCTGCTCTCGACCAACAACGGCCACCATGATCAACCGCCCATCGTACCTTAAAGAATGATTTGGCGAGTAAGACTGATAGGCTACATAGGTTGAATATGTCGGTTTCGGTGCTGATTTACCTGTAGCTGGCATGTTCGTACGCATTGTGGCCTGAGAACATGTTTCTGATCGACCCATTCGTTTTTTATCGGTTACGGAAGATGAAAAGTTTTTAAACGTTTATATCGCATTTATAATTTTATGACTGGGTCAATTTGCGGCGCCTTGCTTTTCATGAAGTTATTGGTGCATGAATAATGTGATCTCCATTTCTTTACCATTGGCCAGAAGTGCCTTTTATAGGCAAAATTTACAGCAACATGGCAAACATAACGTTCCGTTTTCCATTTCTTTCTCACAGAATGATACTCAGTTATCAACTTTGAAAAGAAGAAAGGTGAGTGACCCAACAGGGGCTCGAATTCAGGACCTCTCGGTTCTGATTCGTCGTCCTATCGACTGAGCAGCCTGTATCGGCTATGCTTGTTTGATGATTATGCCGATCATGGATCGAAATGACAGTTAATATTTTTCATTCTGATAAAACTCTTATTGCATTACGTTCAGAAATCTAATTATTTGATGTCGTTTTACGAATTGAGGTAGAGTTCTGCTTTGTTTTAATGGCATTATGACCCATTTCAGCAATTTCTGCAAGAGCTTGACGGAAAATCAAGCACTGTAGAGGAGGCGGTGTGTCTCGGCGAACAGATGGTCGGCTCTCTGGCGGACACAGACGAAGTTGCCAGGGATTTGCAACAGCAGTTTCTTTCCACTCGACAGCAGTGGGGATCCATTTGCAAAGCGATGAGCGATCGGCTTAACGTCCTGATGTCTGCTTTTGAACTGTGGAAAGAGTTTCAAGGTAAACTTGCTATCAACTTTCGATGGTAACTGTTGTACGCCCTGTGGAATTTTGTCATTTTCATGTGTATGCGAGCTTTTATGTCCATGACGGGCGTTGTTTCAGTCGGAACTTGTGCGATACTTTGTTTGGAGGCACAGAAATTTGTAAACAAATGGTATTGATAACTGACGTTTCAGCAACGTTGACTTTGCCATAATCTGCACCAAAATGAATAAATAAACATTCAAGCAATAGTACAAATCACCATCATTTAGCGATGCAGCATTAGGCAATTTGCAACATGCAAATATAGTACTCGCAATAAATGTATTATCATTTTTTACTTGACTGAATCAAAGCTTTTATGGAATACCTAATGCCTCCTAACCTTTGACTAAACGATACATCCCGATAGTGCAAGAGAGCAGGTCTTATCCCTATTTCTCTTTACGAGGTAGATTCATTTTCTAAAGGTTGCTGGCTTTTGCATCAGTT